TGCTGTCTCATTTTCTCCATCTCAAATTTTATCTGTTTCATGTCTAGATCTCAAAACATTTAAAATATTTGCTACATGCGCCATTTTGTATCCCGAGGCCTAGAATCCATAACCATCTCAGTCTGAGAACATAAGGATTCAATGCCTATTCACGTGCTTGTCTGCTACAACTCACTTTCCAGGCACCATCTCATATCATCATGATAACGCACAGATCCATTTACAGAGGAGAAAACAGGTAAAAAGAGGCTAAGTGACTTTCCCAAGCCTTACAGCTGTTAAGTAAAAGACCAATGAGAGGTGCTCCCTGGGGAAGGATGCTGGTTGAAAGGTGAGTTTGAGGAAGTACACAATTACTGTGAAACTTAAAGTAAAAACCCTTACAATGCAATGAAGTACTTCTTTCATTTTATAAATGTTTTTGTAATTTATAGTTTTTCACACACAGTTTACATATAGTAAAATTAAATATTTTAAATATTTAGTTCTGTAGCTACACATACATGTGTATTTTTAAAGTTTTTATTTAAATTCCAGTTAGTTAACATACAGTGTAATATTAGTTTCCCTTGTACAAAATAGTGATTTAACACTTCCATGCAACATCCAGTGGTCATCACGACAGTGCCCTCCTTAATGTCTATCACCTATTTAACCCATCACTCCCCCCACCTCCCCTCCAACACCACCCAGTTTGTTCTCTATATTTAAGAGTCCCTTATATTCTTAGGGCCAAAGGTAAAGCTAGAATTGGTGCAACAAATATAAATATGGATATTGGTGGTGTTAGTGATTGTAAGGATTCTTCAATGAATAGCTTGAGAGCATCTGTAGTAGGTCATGGGGGCCAGTGGTGTTTGGTTCTTCATGAAGTCGTGTATAGGCTAATACTTTTCATTTGATTAGTGTAAGGAATGTTTCAGGAAGGAGCATAGGTATAATTAATGACAGAATATTAATTATAAACAACGTGCTTTAGGAAGAGGAATTAAATCTCTGGCAATAAATGTTCATTAAAAAATTTTAAATGTTTATTTATTTTGATAGAGAGCAGGCAAACATGAATGGGGGAGAGGCAGAGAGAGAGACAAGGAGAGATAGAGTCCCAAACAGGCTCCATGCTATCAGAGCATTCTGATGCAGGGCTCAATTTCACCAACAGTGAGATCATAACCTGAGCCAAAATGAAGAGTTGGGTGCTCAACTGACTGAGCCACCCAGACACCCCATGTTTAAGTTTTACACAGTTACTGGACTTTGCCATCTTATTCTATGGTAGGGATAGGTATAAATTAATTAGATTGATAGTATCTCATCTATTAGCGTGAAAGCATTTCGTAATGTAGTCCTTATTTCTCTTGTCCTTTCCTACTAGGAGAAATGTAGAACAGATAGAAACTGACCTGGATTACTCAGATCACGTAGAATTTAATTGTTTAACAAACCAGCCATTAATAGTGGTTGCACCATTAGGATGTCCTGACCCAAAACTGAGATCATAGACCTTATGAATAGGATAATGCTATTATCTCTAGGGTAATTTGTTCTGTTGATCAATGTTTTGGATCAATAAATGATGAAATATTTTGACTGATTGGTATAGATTTTAATTACTTGGAGGTTATTTTGTTATCTGAGGTCATATCAAACAAAATTTTTAGTCCATTTACAGTTTCTTTATCTTTCAATTTGGTTAAATTTTTTGTTCAATTTTGGACTGATTAATTAAAGCTCCATAGGGTCTTCTTGTCTTATTATGTAATTCTTGCCTTTTCACAGGAAAGTCGTTTTCATTGATTAAAAGTAAGAGTAAGTAAAACCCTTATATGGTCATTCATACAAGTCCTTTTTTTTCAGAACAAATGATTATGTTGCCTTTGTACAGTCAGGATACCATAGCCATTTAATAGTTGTCCTTGGGCAGGCAGTGCCTTTAATATTAGAAATGTAGAGATAATGTTTTTTTGTAATCAGGTGAGGTTTGTGCTTGGTGAGTTTTTTTTACTTCTTAAAATCTTTCCTTAAATGCATACCTGTGTTGGGTTAACAATTAATTTAATAAATAATGAATTATTGGGTTAAATTTATTTTGCTAACTATCACTAATTGTCCATTCTGATATAAGCTTATGCAAGGAGAAATAATTCATGTTACTCAAATGAATGGTATTGCTTCTATTAATTAATGAATTAATCCAGTATGAAGTTAGTAGTTGGTCTTTAGTGTTGGAAATTTGGTAAATATATTGTTAACCTTGAATACTTTAATTGATGACCACTTCTAGGCCAACTATTGTGTTGTTTACACTTAATATACAAGTAAGGTTGTATCCTATATCTAAAGATTGTAACTTTTAATTAATTATTTTTATTTAGTTATTTTTTAAACTTATTTATTTATTTTGAAATAGGGTTAGAGCATGTGTAAGCAGGGTATGGGAAAGTGGGAGAAGGAGAGAGAGAATACCAAGCAGGCTCTAGGCAGTCAATGCAGAGCCCAATGTGGGGCTTGATCTTACAAAATGTGAGATCATGACTTGAGTAGAACTCAAAAGTCAGGTGTTTAACTGACTGAGCCACCCAGGTGCCACTAGGCTGTAGCTGTTTAGATTAGTATTTAAATTTATGTTGAAATTCTTTTTTTTAGATAAGTTTAAAAGTGAACTAAAATTCTGTTCTGGATGACCAGCTATCACTAGGGTTGATAGACTTTTCACCTCTACCTGTAAATCTCACTATTTTGCTACATAGGTGAGTTTGTTATTTACAATTGTTTATAGATAGCTTGTCTGGTTTCAGGTTAGTTAAGTTCTTTTTAATTGTTCTAAGTAAATCATTATGCAAAAATAAAAGTGTAAGCATTGCTATTTAGTGGTTTTAATATTTCTTTGATCATTCTTTTATGGTACCTTTCCTATAGCACCAATTAAAAATTTCATCTCCTATACTTTTAATTTAATTTAATTTTTAAATGTTTATTCATTTACTGAGTGGAGAGAGAGAGAGGGAGAGGGATGGAGGTATTGGGAGACAGAGATTTTTAAGCAGGCTCTACGCCCAGGGTGGAGCTTGATGTGGGGCTCCATCTCAAAAGTTTGAAATCATGACCTGAGTCGAAATCAAAAGATGCTTTCTTACTTTTTTGAGGAACCTCCACACTGGAGATGGGCATGGAGGAGGGCACTTGTTGGGATGAGCACTAGGTGTTATATGGAAGCATCTTGAGAATAAACTATATTTTTAAAAAATGAATACACTTTCAGTCAACAAAAAGAGATGCTTAACCAACTGATACACCCAGATGCCCCAAATACTTTTCCTTTTAAATAAGTATTTTGTGTAATTCATTTATAATTATTGAGTTTGGTAACTTTGGGCTAGCTTTAGTACAAGTGCTCATATTAAATAAAACCTCCTGGTTGTAAACTAGGTGCTTTATTTAAGGTACACTTTGATCTGTCTAAACACACTCTCCAGGATGTTTACCTTAGTACCTCTTCTTATATGTATAATGATTAATAATAAGTTATATGTAAGTTTTGATATTAGAGGAAGGTGGTATGTGTGTATCTCATAGCCCAATTTACTTAATTCTTTCATCTTGAGTTTTTACTAAATTCTCCTTTAGTTTTTGATTTCATAAAGACTTTAGTATAAAATTTAAAGCAGAAAGTATAGCCCATTTCTTTCTATCCCACAAGCTACACGTTGACCTAAAGTTTTAATGGTTTTAGGTGTATGCTTATTATAATTTTAGGGTTTGCTGAACCTGAAGGTGGTGGTATATAGACTGTAGTAGCAAAAATTGGTAAGGGTTCTTGGGGTTTACCAAATGTCGAACAGCCTCCTCTGAAGAGACATAAAGCACTGCCAAGTCCTTTGAGTTTTAGGCTGTTGCTGGTAGTGTTCTGGTGAAGAATTTTGTTATAATAACTATTTCATCTTGGGGCTAATCGTAGTGGGGTGTATAGTCCCAGTATGGGTCTTAGCTTTCGTGCAGTCAAGAATATTAAAGTCACTATTGTAGTTTATTTTTATTTTAGCTATAGCTTTTCACAGCCTAATTAAAATTTAACTTTATTGTAAAAATATCTTTATTTGATGCTGAGATTTTATCACTTTGAGTTAATTGTATGACCATGGTGTCTGGGGCAAAATTTAGCAACCCTAGTTAATATAACTTTGTCAAATTTTCATTTATGGCTTTATTTTTATCACTGCTGTTTCCTGAGGGTGTGTGGTAAAGCAAGGCATTGCGAGCTACCTTTTAGTATGCTTGTTTGTCAGCATACGAACGGCACCTGGAAGGATCTAAGTATCTCTAGTAAAGTCAACGGATTTATTGACCATGTTTAGGGAGCATGGCCTACTTACTTCAGGATGCTTCAGATGCTACAGGTTACACCAAAGTCCATGCCTGGTTCCCCCCTTATCACTTTCCTTGAAATGTGTTACTAGTACTTTATGTCACTGTTGTTTAATATGCTGACTTCCAAATCACCGGGTATTGATATTATAAAATTATGTTAATAGCCAAATAAAGAATAGGGTAGTAATTTAAGGCTGTAGAAGTTTATCTTTAGGTTCCAAGAGTTTATATTTTTATCTTAAAATATTTAAGATAGAACTTTCCTTAAAGAGGGGGTAAACATGTGGAGATCAAAAAGAAAGATCAGGAAAAGAGAACCTGAATACAGTTAGTTAGCATCCTAGGAGCCTGCATTTACATGGTAATGCCTAATCTCTATAATAACCCATGAAATGGATGTCAGGTTGAAAAATTGTATCCCAGCATATTGTATGAGAAGTCATAAAGTTGGGAAGCAGCATGACTTGGGTATCCATATTAAGTCCTCTGACTCTTACTTGTAAGGTACCATTCTGATTCTATAAAGTTCTAAATGCTTAATTCTGTTTCCATGGAAAATAACTGTTTTCATAGCATTCTGGAGGCTTCCCTCCATATGATTCATTCAGGTTCTAGCTGACATAAACTGTTAGTAAACAATACCATTAGCAACAGTTTTTTTGTGGCTAATGGTATTGTTTTCTGGTAACTGACCTTCTTCGGGGCCATCCCTTAATATAGGAGAATTTTGAATCATGATGTGACAACAGTTTTTGCCAAATATCAATATGTAAGGAGCTCTAAGACTGTACAGAAAGCATCTCTTTTGATTCAGGAAGATGTTTGCTTCAGAGTCCAGATGTTCCAGGAATTATCTGAGAAGAAACCCTTGATGTTTCTGGAAACTTCATAAAAGTTCCAGAAAAATCCAAGTTGGTACGTATAGAGTACTTTTTTAAGTGTGCGGGAGGTATAAAAGTAAGAAAGAAGAGTTTATTATAGACTATAAGATATATTACATTTGGAAACATTATTATCTGTGATCAGATTTTTCTTCATGGATATAGAGCTTATCCCAAAATCTAACCAGGGCCTAAATACAGTCAAAACACAACAAAACAAACAATACACCTGTCTGGAAAAGTTTTATTAGATAGTGTTATCCTCAGCAGATACTTGAATTTATTATGTGAAGTAACTTCTAGAGCAGGAAATGTTAGAGCTCTGTGTTGTGGATAGAGAAAGACTTATAGACTGATTATCCATGCTATGTTTCTTAGAACCTCTTAGTTACTAAGTTTCCCTAATTTGAGAGCATCATCTGATAATATGCCTTTTCTGAAAATCAGAGCCAAAGATTCAAAGTGAATTTAATTACTGTATAACAGTTCTAGAGTTGTAAGTAAACTATCTTTCAGTTTAAGTTTCTGTAGGTGTGAGAAAAATCTTATTTCATCAATATGTACAGTTTTTGTATTGGAACCAAGATTTCACTTATCATTCTTGAGGAAGTTGGAAGGCTTTTGTGGGTAGCAAGCGATGGCCAGTTGTGGGAGCTGCTCCCATAGGCTGGTCATGACTTGCATTACCATGGTCCTGGAGTTTGGATGGCCCACTTTGAACTGTTGGTTTGGCGAGGCACGTGACAAGCAGAGAAATGTTTTCTAACACAGAATTCTCTGTGCTCTATTACCAGTTTGGCTCTGTTAGAGTAAAATGTTTAATTAGCACTTATTTCAGTTACAAAGCAATATTGCAAAGCTGCTTTTAGTTTACTTTTTTTAAAATTTATTTATTTTTGAGAGGGAGGAGAGGGGCAGAGAGAGGGAGACACAGAATCTGAAGCAGGATCCAGGTTCTGAGCTGTCAGCACAGAGCCCAATGTAGGGCTCAAACTCAGGAGCCGTGACATCATGACCTGAGCTGAAGTCAGATCCTTAACCGGCTGAGCCACCCAGGCACCCCTAGTTTAATTTATTGGAGAGCGCTCTTTACTACCAGCACCAGAAAGGCCATCTCATTGCTTATCTCTTGCTTCTCAACATAGATGTGCAGTTTTACTGTGGGAAAGACTGGACAGGTCAAGACCTTCTACAAATGAAGAAATATTTCAAATACTCTGCCCTTCAATGGGACAATTCTAAATCACAGAATCTATAGAGTCTCCTGAAAGAGTAAAGTTGGTTTGCATTCCAGTTATGTTACCAACATAAGCATCTTTCCTTTCTCAGTGCCGCTTCCCTGTTCCCTTACTGATGCCTCCAAAAATCTGCTTCCAAATAAACTACATGCAATACAATTATGTCTTAGGATCTTCTAAGGGAAACCAACCTAAGTAACTATGGAGAGCTACTACTTCTACATATATGACCCTTCAACATGATGGTTCCTTACATTCCCCAGAGCTGGGTTCTACTTTATTTTCAAACCTTATGGGAAGCAGAAGGGATTTTCTTATATTCTTACTGATTATCAAAATGACCACAATTTCAATCATAAAATATTATTTAGTAGATACTACTGCTGTCTGCTAAAATAGTAAAATAATACCCTTATATGGTAGATTCACATCTCCCATAGTAGTCAAGGTAATGAATAAATGCTCTACAGAAGTAGTAGAATTTTGTTCAGTGAGGTAGATAATACATCAAGTTTATATCTATTTTAAATGTCAGATGCCTAAGTAGAAATATACAAAAGGCAGATGGATGTATAGTTTTAGAGCTCCAAAGATAGAGCCAGTTAGCAGAGTCTGACATAAAGTCCTTATTTGCTCAACCTTTTTATGGCCACCTTTATTTCTTTATTTCTTAATGTATATATGATGGGATTTAAGACGGGGGTGATAGCAAAGTCAGCAATGAACAGGTATTTATCAATTGATGATGTGGGGAAAGGCCATACATAGAGAAACATGCATGGAGTGAAAAATAGAACCACCACAGTGATGTGAGCTGACAGAGTGACAAATGCCTTGGATAAGTCTCCTGAAGAACGTTTCCAGACAGTGACCAAAATAAAGACATAGGAAAGGATCAGCAGGAAGAAGGTGCCCATGCTCATGAAGCCACTGTTGGCAGCAATAATAAACTCAAACTTGGCTCCATCTGTACATGCAAGTTTTATGATCCTGGGAAAGTCACAGTAAAAGCTGTCCACTTTATTAGGACCACAAAAGGGCAAGTTTATAATGAAAGCAAACTGAGACATAGCATGGATGACTCCAATGACCCATCCAGCAATTACAAATGAAACACATGTTTTAGGGTTCATGATGTTCAAGTAGTGAAGAGGCTTACAGATGGCTGTGTACCTGTCAAATGCCATGGCGATGAGTAACACCATCTCCACTCCTCCCATGATGTGGATGAAGCATATCTGTGTCATACAACTTTGGAAAGAAATTATCTTGTTTTCATTTAGAAGGTCTCTAATCATTTTGGGGACTGTGGTAGAGGCAACCCCCACGTCAATGAAGGACAGGTTGGCCAGTAGGAAGTACATAGGAGAATGTAAATGAGAATCAAAAATTACCAAAAAGAAAATGAAGAGGTTTCCCAGGATGATTCCTAAATAGATCAAGGAAAATATCAACGTAAGAAAAACTTTAGTTTCCCAAGAACTAGAGAGTCCCAGCAACACAAACTCAGAAACCATAGAATTATTTAATCCATCCATTGACTTGGGCAGAAAAGCTGATTTTCAAATATCCTGAGAATAGAAAATAATTAAAAGTCAGAACCAGTGCTACAAATGTAAATTTCCTATTTCTTGCTAGTTTTTTCTCTGGGGTACATATCCCAATTAGAAATCCTTTAATTGGATATGAAAAAAATTAAGGATATGGAAACATTATGGAGATCAAGAGAATGATTCCATAAAAAGGGAAGAAAATTATTGATATTTTAGATAGGGATAAATTGTGTTAATTCCCTTCTATTACATTTTCATATCCTTTTATTTTGCCTCTCCAGGATTTCTAGACACTTCCCTTCTCACTTACTTATGTGTTCTCCTATATGAATAATCTTAGCTACTACTGTCAGCTTCACATTAATAGTCTCACACTAATTTGCTAATTGTCCTTAACTGAATTTATTTCAGTGGTCTAATAGACATCTTTAGGCCCAAATTGTTTAATGCCTTCCACCTTGTTTCACCTTGTATATGTGTTTTGTTTTTAAACTTTTTTTTGGTATAATTTACCATGGAAATCAGGCTTGTGGAAATCACATTGTGATTATTCATGATTTCAGTTGATAGCTATTGTCATGGTACATGCCTCTATATTCAATGAAAATGTTAGATACAAATACTGAATACTTAGTAGGTAAAAAGTGTTAATTAAACAATTATACTATTAAAGATGACATTTACTGAAGCATCCTCCATACAAAGCTTTGTACCAAGCACATTATCTCATTAAACTTTTTTTAACGTTTATTTATTTTTAAGAGAAAGAGACAGACCATGAACAGTAAAGGGGCAGAGAGAGAAGGAGACACAGAATCAGAAGAAGGCTCCAGGCTCTGAGCTGTTAACACAGAGTCTGACATGGGGCTTGAATTCATGAGTGGTGAAATCATGACCTGAACTGAAGTTGGACTTTTAACCACCCGAGCCACCCAGGTGCTCCAGGTTATCTAATTTAAACCCCACGGAATTCCGTATGGAAATAATTTTTCTAGATTCATTTTACTGATGAAGAAACTGAGTCTTAGAGGGATTAAGTGTCAGAGCCAGGACTTTTATTGAAAGTTGTAGGACAACATGATCCATGCTTCTGACTGTAGCACTGTGCTCCTCGAAGCTGGCCCCTTCCCATAGACCCTGGATCTTCCCTAACGATCCATCAATTAAACTTTCTTCAACTTTTTGCTTCCTTTCACCTATTTACATAGTTAAGTTCATTTTTAAAAAATCAAATCTCTGAATCTTATGTCTTCTTCTAATTTTCCTTCTCTCCCTAACTCCTCATTTGGCGGTCCTCACTTTTTGTTCACCAGTAGGCTAAAACAATTCAGTTTCCAAAATTCCTTGTTCATAGGAAGAACCCCTGGATTCTGAATACATTATACAGTAATCAATTTTTAATCAATCTCCTTGATCTCTCTGCAGGATATGATAATATTTATCATGCCCTTGGTTCTGTAACTTCCTTTTCCCTTGGTTCCTTGGCTTTTTCTAAAGTCAATCCGTTCCCACTTCTTGCCAACAGAAATTCAATTTTTCCTAGTAGTTGACATAAATCTCTACATTATAAAAGACATTAACTCTATCCCAAGTTGAGAGCATGATACATGATTTTTATAAACTGGTTGCTATAAACCCATTTTCCTTGGCCATGAATTAATCTAAAGTAAGGCATGTAACCAAAAACTATTCAATGAGACGTAAACCAATGAGACATTGTCTGGAGAACTTTCCTTCCAAATGAAAAGTCAGAGCTTCATGAGACAAGGTTCTTTTCAAGGTCTTGGTTCTTTGTTTGTTTGTTTGTTTGCATGTAAGGCTAATGATATGTTTAAAGGTGTGGCAAGCACAAAATTGTAAAGCCCATATAATACAAACAATACAGTAAAAATTCAGAGCACCTAGAAATCAAAAGTCAAGTTAATCATTTAACTATGAAGCCTACAATAATGTCCCTTCAGATATATTCTTCTAATGTGAGAAAAATAAACTGTAACTTCTTTGATCCACTTTAAACCAGGTCTTCTGTTACTTTATTAATTGCAATTAGACCATTTTTATTAGAGCCTTTCCCTAATTATTCTTCTGCCTTTCTGCCCTCTCCACACTTTCACTAACACAGCATTCATTTTTCCTCTGCTTCACCTTAATTTCTGGTGTGACTCAGAGTCTGTGTTAAGTATTTGTTCTTTTTTTTTTTTTTTTTTAAAGTGTGTTGACAGCATCCATTTAACCATTGTCTCAGGAAAGTCCTACATGCCTGTTTATCTCGGTCTGATAACAGGAAGGACTGAAAAATGCAAATTCTACATCACATACCTCCACCTGTATCTTTTTAAAATGCTCATAAAGATTCTCATTACTCAGAGGGGCAAAAGAGTTTACTCAATATCAGTTTCCTTATTTTCCATAGTAGCTGCCTGTTGAATTCTGAATCTGTAGCTTTATCCCTTACTCCAGGTTAATATATCCAAAGCAGTCTGTGGTATACACAAACGGAAGTTCCACCTCCATTAATAACGAGATGTGTCAGAACTGAATTTACCAGACTTTAATTTACTCCAGTGCTTTAATAAATACACTACCATTCTCTCCAGTGCCTGGTGTAGATACCTGGGTAGCACTCTGTCCTTTCACTTCCAGCTCAAGTTGTGTAACTTTTCCTCCCAACTATTTGTCATTTCAATTCCTTCCCCACTTCTATTGTCATTTTGTCCTTTACATCTGGTCTACATGTTTTCCCATCTTGACAATCAAAAAGGCTGCTGAATGATCGCTCTGTTCCATTCTTCTCCATGTCCAGTCTATTCTACAGTCTGATTCCGTGTGTGTCTATCCACAGGTCACATGACCACATAGCTCTCCTATGTGGGCCTATCAAGAGAAAATTTTTGATTCCACAGCATATCGCGTAAAGACCATGAGAAGAGATGAACAGTGTTTGATTTCAGAGGTTATTTCCATAAAAATTTTAGGGAATAAATGTATTAAACAATCACTGGATAAATGTTAAAGCTGATCCCTGATAAAAACTCTCAGCCAAGTGGAGGGGCACCTGGGTGGCCCAGTCGGTTAAGCATCTGACTCTAGGCTTCAGCTCAGGTCATGATCTCACACTTTCGTGAGTTTGAGGCCAGCATCAGGCTCTGTCCTGGCAGCATGAAGCCTGCTTGGGATTCTCTCTCACCCTCTCTATCCCTCACCGTCCCCCACTTGCTCTGTCTCTGTGTCTCCCAAAATAAATAAAGAGACTTAAAAAAAAGTCAGGCAGAAATGTTTTGGAACATTTCAGAGTGATCCAAATGTCCATTTCAAAGTCCAGGGATATTGTGAAAAGGAAATGAAGTGGGTGCTGGGGGGAGAAAAGAGAACACTTTCCGTGAAAGAGATGAGGATATATCATAATCCCATACTAATTAATCAATGATTGATTTCACTGAAATAGATAAATATAACAAAACCCAGTTAAGATTGTGATGATACGAATTAGGAAACTTAGTATCTGATACAGAAGGCATTGCAATTAAATGTCTTCTGTAATGGAAGGCTATCCACTAAAATCAGCATATTTGATAGTTATTAAATATGAAGCTCAACATTGGAAAC